CGCCATCTACTGTGTCAACCTCCATTCTGGATGACACCCAAACAATACAAGCACAATGTTAAATATTAATGATAAACATACAGTACAAACACCAGAAAAGATGAAATCAAGAACATTTAAACATTATAATCACAATGTAACATATCAAAGATTAAGGTAAGCATACGCTACATCAACAGTTACCAGACAAACTTTATGTTACAAGAAAATGCACAAAATAAAGATGATTCAATAAAGCCACTTATCTCATTATCTGAATGGGCTGCTTTCAGGTCCTCTCGTACATTCCGCCATCTACTGTGTCCACCTCCATTCTGGGTGACACCCAAACAATACAAGCACAATGTTAAATATTAATGATAAACATACAGTACAAACACCAGAAAAGATGAAATCAAGAACATTTAAACATTATAATCACAATGTAACATATCAAAGATTAAGGTAAGCATACGCTACATCAACAGTTACCAGACAAACTTTATGTTACAAGAAAATGCACAAAATAAAGATGATTCAATAAAGCCACTTATCTCATTATCTGAATGGGCTGCTTTCAGGTCCTCTCGTACATTCCGCCATCTACTGTGTCCACCTCCATTCTGGGTGACACCCAAACAATACAAGCACAATGTTAAATATTAAAGATAAACATACAGTACAAACACCAGAAAAGATGAAATCAAGAACATTTAAACATTATAATCACAATGTAACATATCAAAGATTAAGGTAAGCATACGCTACATCAACAGTTACCAGACAAACTTTATGTTACAAGAAAATATACAAAATAAAGATAATTCAATAAAGCCACTTATCTCATTATCTGAATGGGCTGCCTTCAGGTCCTCTCGTACATTCCGCCATCTACTGTGTCAACCTCCATTCTGGATGACACCCAAACAATACAAGCACAATGTTAAATATTAATGATAAACATACAGTACAAACACCAGAAAAGATGAAATCAAGAACATTTAAACATTATAATCACAATGTAACATATCAAAGATTAAGGTAAGCATACGCTACATCAACAGTTACCAGACAAACTTTATGTTACAAGAAAATGCACAAAATAAAGATGATTCAATAAAGCCACTTATCTCATTATCTGAATGGGCTGCTTTCAGGTCCTCTCGTACATTCCGCCATCTACTGTGTCCACCTCCATTCTGGGTGACACCCAAACAATACAAGCACAATGTTAAATATTAATGATAAACATACAGTACAAACACCAGAAAAGATGAAAACAAGAACATTTAAACATTATAATCACAATGTAACATATCAAAGATTAAGGTAAGCATACGCTACATCAACAGTTACCAGACAAACTTTATGTTACAAGAAAATGCACAAAATAAAGATGATTCAATAAAGCCACTTATCTCATTATCTGAATGGGCTGCCTTCAGGTCCTCTTGTACATTCCGCCATCTACTGTGTCCACTTCCATTTTTCCCCACCTGTTAAGAGAAAACAAACTTCAGACAAGATGAAAACACAAAAAAAATCCAAGCAATATGAGCACAATGTGAAATATTAAAAACTAAGTAAAACTAGCTAGCTAGCAATATCAGCGCTAGCTAGGTGACTCGGGTTCAACCAACGTTCCGACCGTTGAACCCATTCTGCTGTTAACAAGGGGGCTAGGTTTGCTAGTTTTAACACAAGTTGTGTCACTCCAATGGCAGAATCATTGCTTTTTTTTAATCATCATCAGTTATTTTCTTGTAATAAAACTATATGTATTAAGGCTTGCTCACTTTTAGCGATCACAGTCGCGAGCCCAGCACACAGCTAAATACTTAGCATAATTAAAAATCGCACCTGTCCTGTTGAAAGCAACTGGTAATGTTCAGAGGATCGTCAGTGGATGTACAGATGGCAAAATGATGTTAATATGTGTCTCCGGTTCCGTGAAATCGTCGAGTGAAAGAAACATGCAAACCCAACCCTGTTGCTAACTTGTGGCGCAGCATAAAAATAAAACGTTACTTCAGTATTGCCTCGTTCTATTCCCTCGTTCTATTCCTCCGTTCTATCCCCCCCCCCCCCCCGTGCCTCCTGACCCCTGTTGTTAACTTTTGGCGCAGCAAGAAAAAAAAAATTGAGGTCAATATCCCTCCCTTCTATTCTCCCCTCACCCCCTTTTCAGCAGCAAATTAACGTGCCCCCACTCAGTACTATTTAACATTAGAAGACAATATATCTGAATAGTCAAAGATAATAGGCTACGGGGAAAATACATTTTAGGCTCAAATAGGCCTACAGCGCAAGGCTCAAATGGCTCTATCTAGGGCTGTTGCTCAGACTTTTGTGATGGTTATGTTGATGACTTTTCTGTAGTTTTATTAACAACCGCAGGCCACATGATGGTGCCGTTTTCCACATAAGTGGTTGGGTTGAATTGGATGCATTTCCCATCATGATGTCTCCTATTCATTATTTGAGTTTTTTTCTATCTATCTATCTATCTATCTATCTATCTATCTATCTATCTATCTATCTATCTATCTATCTATCTATCTGCCTGTCTGTCTGTCTGTCATGTGCAGAGTGAGGTACTGTATGAAGTTAGTGAACATGTCTCATTAATCCAAAAGCCTTTATGCTTTACAGTTATGATATGTTTTTATCTTTTACTTCCCCAAATATCTCAAATCAATGAAAATGCACATACATCAACATTAAAGCACATCATGCTCCCATTAAAATTCTCTGGTCAGTAAATTTATTCTGTGACAGAGGTTGGCAGGTTTAACTACAGCATCATTATTAATAGAATGAAAAAATACTATTCAGGAAATGTTTCTACAAGCTGTCAATAGAAAGTAGCAGTATTTCTTAATTCCAACATTCTCATAGACTGGAGTCATGTACCACAGCTAAGTTTGAATATGGCATCATTTCCATACAATACATACATAGGAGTGAAAAATGTTGTGAATTGGTTGACAATGTGTCTGTTCATGTTCTGTTTTGGTAAAAATGCAGTTATGCAATTAAATTGGAATTACCATGTAATTCAGACAATTCAGAAACATGTCTTGACCTAGAAATAAAATTGTGCACAGGTGCAATGATACAATACCTGTACCATATAATAAAAGACCGATCTCTCTCTCTCTCTCTCCAGTTAATTGTGATGGCCCAGTCAAGCTCTTAGCTGTTGTCAAGGCCCAGGCACATGACTTTTACTTTACAGTAGGTGCATGAGCTGACTTGTTCCTTCCCAAACAAATCATTTCACTTGACACTGTGTTTGTTGCTGGGGTCACAGGTAAACTAAATAACTTTCAATGTTAACACATTTTGGTTTTTAAGACATGATTTTAAAACTATTTGAGTTGAGACAATAATATTTTTACACAAACAACATATACATATCTGCTAACACGTTCTTGTACAATTCCACTGAAAATCACGGCTATTTCCTGTTTGTATCATTTTGTGTGCTACTTATACAGTTTCTGTGTCTCTGAATGTTTTTTATGGTGCTAAAATCTGTTCTGTGGAAATAATAAAATATTTCCACTGTGTGGTGTCAGAATGCATGCTTTGATAGTGTGTACGTTGACCTGATATCATAAGGTTGCAATTCTTGCTCTCGGCGCAATCACGTGTTAACAGGGACTTTATTTTGAAACCAAATACTGGAAGTTGAGTAATACTGTTTATAAAATTGACACGTTGGATGATTTTCAGCGGATATCTACACAGGTGCGTCTGGACATTTATGCATATTCGCGGGAACCAAGCATTGCGTGTTTACTGTGTGTATGCGTGATTTTTGGTGTTACACAGAGAAATGCGTGTCTACAGTGGAATGGCTCAGTTATGCACCTCAGAATGAAAACCGTGCAGCTGGGACATGCATTCACTTTAATACAGCGCACCAACAAGCTGGTGTAGTCTGTAGGCTACCAATAAAACCGCGGTTTGGATTTCTGCAATAACACTGGATTACAGGAGCTGCAGGACGTGGGTTTGAAGGAGAAGGGGAGACGAACATATCACAGATGTGAAAATACAGATCGAGATTTTCATTTCAGTTTTTTTTTCTTTTGCATTATGATTTTTGGCCGGAGCCTGTGAAATGCAGCCTCTATCTAACAGATGTGTGGCACTACAGCTGCAGCCTACAGGTCTGTATATCGCCAGAATCGGTTCAAGTGTGTTAGGCATGCATTCGCTATAAGCCATATTGAGGAATCACAGAAGCAACACAGACCTTGTCCCTTGTTTTGCGTTCACTGCACCTGACCAGCTTTCTATGTGGAAATGCTAGGGTTATAATAGCATTTGACTGACCAGGCACACTGCTCTGTCCCTGATACGCACATTTGATGAAAGTCACAATTATTTTCTGCTAAAACAGCTCACATGCTGATAGGCTATACACAGTTTTTTTGCACTACAATTTAAAGTAATCTAATAGGCCACTAAAGGGACTATAGCACAGAACTGGTTTGTACCATCTTCGCTGAAACACTACCAGATTATTGAGAAATAGCTCATGGGTTTAATAACAGCGTTTGTTTACTAGTGTTTCTGCTCCTTGTTCTTTAGAGTGCGTCTCCAGTTTACCTGCAGCGGACTGAGACTGCTACAGCTGCAAATCTCGCCGTCATTGTCATCAACATCTGCCACTTCACATAAGACAAGACACAAGAGGACAGAGGTTGCTTTTTGGCTGATCAAAGTGCCAGTTAGAAAGTGGGCTACCTGTAGATGATGACTGCAAACAAGATGTGTGCTTGAAAGCAGCATGAGATAATTTGAGACTACCACACAAATAGCTGATTCGAGCCTTTTCTGTCTGGCGCTGATGAAAATGTTCCAGTGTGTCAGTTGACTGACATGCTCATGGTGGTGTTCTAGCTCGGGACATAGTCAGTAACTGAAGTGCAGACACCACAAAGGAGATGGCCCGTCCAGGATCAGGGCTGCTGGTGCCCGTCAATGGGATGGGGTACCCTCCTCAGAACCTGGCCAGGGTGGTGGTCTGGGAGTGGTTGAACGAACACGGACGCTGGAGGCCCTACAGTGCAGCTGTTTGCCACCATATTGAGAACGTAATGAAAGGGGACGCCCGGGGTACTGTTGTTCTGGGTCAGGTGGATGCCCAGCTCTCACCTTACGTCATCGACCTGCAGTCCATGCACCAGTTTCGACAAGACACAGGTAAGAGACATGCCAGCTGTATGACAGAGTGTGTCAGGGAAAGCTATAATGTAGATACTATAACGTAGTAAACATAACAGTACACATAAATACATTATGTTTATGTAAATAATAAATAAATTATGCATTGGTGTCCTCACTACAGATTATATCATTATCACATGGGGGCTTATTAAAACAGAGCCAGCTTTTATGCAGTTGCTGCACAAATCTTATGTAACTTTCAAGGGAATAAATCAAAGTGCTGAATGTCCCATCTGCTCTGGGACTCATAAAGGTGAGCCACAGGTTGAGCTGAGATGTATTGCAACAAACAGGACACAAAGCACCAAGATGACAAGTGTAGCGATAATTTATTCATTCAAGCATGTTTTTATGCTGTTGCTGGAATATTATGACCTTGCCAAAGGTCACCATGTTGGAGAGGCCATACATCCATCAGGCAAATGAGGACAGTAGCTCAGTGCAGCTCTCATCACTCTTCTCAGCTTATTGTGCTGTCAGTCACTTGTAAGAATGGCTGTCGTGCATTCAATCCAACCCAACACAGCTTTTGGTTATTCTCTCTGTAGACAGACACTGGATGTTTCCGCTGCAATCAACCAAGGCTTGGTACACTCTGTGTTTATCTTTGTATGTAGATTCACCTTCCTGCTGCCCTAGTTAGATCCAGCCTTGGACAGCAAGTCATACTTACCAGAATAAACAATGATGAGGTGAAGCACGAAGTCTGAAACTCTCACCTTAAATCAGAGAGTCTCTCATTTGAAGGTGTTACATAACATCAGAGCATCACAAGAGGTACTGGGAAATTCACATGAGATATACAGGTGACCTCACTGTGCGTTATGTCACCTTTCATTGGCTGTGTTCTTCAGTAAACAGTATATAGTACAAACTCACAAAGGTCCTTGGACTAACTGTCACTATAATAACTGCCTAAATATGTGAAATGACTGTCAAAGTGACATAACATGTTGTTTAGATCATTAAGAAATATCCACATGTGTAATAAGCTGCTGTACACATGTGGAGGAGTGTTTGCGCTTTCTTGTTACACTCAGTGTGTTTTTATATCTATAGTTGGGCATTGCAAAGTAGCTCAGGCTATAGATACTGTACTATGTGTTGACTACAGCTGTGCACTTGCACCATTTAAAAAGACATCTTAATATTAAAATCATAAGAAAGAAAAAAGAAAGCATGCATTTATAAAAAAATTCAGCAATGAGCAGAGAGAAAAATTAACTAAATAACCAATCAGTTAGCTGTCATTATCTCTTCTAGTGCCACTTATGATGCAGTTGTTATTGTATTAAAATTCTACACAAAGTAAAAAGGCTTTATTACACATTGTGCTGACCCATTTAGAAAAAAAAAACACTTCACTATATGTTAATTGGAATATCAGGCTGTGAGATGAGCCACTGAGCCATTTGTCAGCCATTACCTGGACACTGGGGCTAGGTCTGACGTTTATCGCTCCTTATTGTGCAATTTGGTGTGTTACCTTCTCCCTCGGCTGGGATAAACCTGTCACAGTGGGGCCTGACAGAGAGCAGCTGGAACTACCGCTGCCTCCTCTTTCCTCATCCTGTGTACATTCTGTTCCTATCCCGATCATGGGTAAGACTCTGCCAGGCCACAGCTATTGATTTGAGCTCCCATGAGGCCTAGCTTCCAGGCTGTTGTGAAGGCGTTGTACCACTGCTTGCACAAAGGCCCTCAGTGAGCTTTGTTTTAATGTGAATTATGATGCATCTGTTTCACATCAGATGTTTGCTATATTTGTAGCTCAGCAAGTCGCCCACAGCCACTTGCTTTGTTGCAGGCTTATGAAGTATCCCTGTGGGGAAACCCCATTTTGTCATGGAGCCAGTGATCCTGTCCTCTGAGGCCCTTTTTTGGCAAGAGCTGGAAAGAGAGTTAAGTGTGGTTGGTGTCCCTTGTGTGGGTCTATATGTATGTCCTTGTGTCTGTACATGTGGGTGATTTTGTGGTGACACATGCGTGATGGTGCACTCTGCCAGCTGTGACAGCTGTGGTATGTGTCCTGCTCCTGAAGGCGGTGTAGAGGTGCCCTGCTCTCCTGTGGGTTTGGGAGGAGCGCCTGTGGGTGGGAACCGTGGAGAGTTACTCCAACTAATGAGACAGTGGCTACAGTTTATCTCCATGGCTCCCTCTAATCAGAGCATCATGACGACAATGCATGCACCATGGGCAGGGCTCTCTTTGTGGAGAGCAGCCTAAATGCATCTGTATTTAGATACCATTGCAAAACACAGGGAATTGGGTTCACCTTAATGCAACTACTGGTGAAGAGCCCCAATCTGTGGTGAAATCCTGAACTCTGTGCTTGTATATCCCCTACAGTATGAGTGAAGACCCAGATGCATATATATAGTGTGGATGAAAATCTGGCTGGTGGCAGGGAGAGCACTGGCTTCAAGTGAAGAGGGAATCGATCCAGTCTCCTCCCCAGAGAAGCATTTGAACCTCTAAACACTGCTGTAGACTGATCCCCTTTCACTACACCCGCTCCCATAGCAAAACACACAAACTTATCTGCCATTTTTCTCACACACAGATGCTTGTGGCCAGACTGATGGATTACACACTGCAGCTATTGCTTTTATTACCTGGCTTTTAAGCATTTACTTCTTGTATGTTTACTCCTGTGATGAAGAGATAGCAAAAAAACAGAGACCACTTAGTTTGCATTAATAAAGGATAGTGACAATAGACTACACAGGCAATTGTCTAATCATAGCTGTAACATCAGCACTGTTTTAAATGACATAATTTCTTTGTTATTGTTTTAGTGCTATAGTCATAAAAGTACATGAAATAATTAGTTTATAACAAGTAGTTGTTGATGTAAAAAAGCCAAGAGACAACACATACATACATAACATAAATATATTGTGAATTGATGAAATTAGAAAGTATTTTCAATTTGACAGTGCAAGTCATTAAACCTGGTCAGTAACATCTTCAGCCACAAACTGACACATGTAAAGTCTAGTGGCAATCCTTGCTAATGTTTGCAAGCTTGGTAAGATTCTGCATTCTTCAATTCTGCTTTGCTTGCTACCTTCCTTTTGCCTGGTAATGATAGATCCTCCAAATGTTGAATGTTGTAAAAAGTCAAATAGGTGTTTTCAATTTAAAAAGAAAATAAAAGCTTGAAAAACTGTCTGTACACTACTTGCCCAACACCAACAGACAAAAAAATTAGCAACTGCATCTAGTGGAGCACTTAGCGGCTGAAGTGTAAAAATGAGCTATGACTAAAGTAAATAGGTGGACACAAACGCATCTCTGAATGACTGCTGATGTTCCTCCATATCTGTTGCATGTATAAAAAGACAAATGCACGCTTACAAGTTCACCATATCAACCTAAAATGCCAGGGGTCGTGTTTGTAAGTGTCCAAAAACTCACTTATTGCAGGTTTGAAATGTTAAACGCAGACAGAGTTTGCTATACGGGAATATAACATGTTCCACTCAATAGTGCACCACAAAAGTTGACTTAGCGTTGCCAGATGTCACTCAATTGCTACTAAGTTTTAGAGCATAGATGATTCTTTCTACAAATATGTTCAAAAACAGTTTCACCAACATTTAAGAAATGTAAAAAAAAAATTGCAGTATCATTATAGTTTACATTTCCCTACTAAAAACAAAATTTGTGATCAATTTTAAAATCAAAGCGACAGCATGTGGTCTGCAATCATTGTCTGAGTCTGTTTTGTTTGTGTTTCTGGAGCAGTGAAGGCCATTAATTGCTTGGTGCTCATTGTCGTGAGATGGCTCATGTGTGACTGCAGAGATAACCACTATCAGCAACTGCAGGCTGCTGTGTTGCCGGAGCAGGACTTTGTTTGCTTTGGTTCCACATGCGTGAGAACCTTGTCTCCTCTGGCCTGTTTCCCTCAGCTAAATGCCCTCTAGGAGTAAGTACCAGAAGACAAAGAAGAGATGGTCATGTTTTCATATCTGTTTTGTGTTAAGATGACAAACAACAGTATGTGGTTGTGGTCTGGATACTTGCTTGTAAACCCTGCTGAGCTGATGTAATTCTGCAGATTGCTCTAGGGTTTTTTTTCATGTGGTTCAGTATATAGTAAGTGCGTGTGGGAACTGTTTTGGTGGTCTGTGGAAGGAAGCTGTTAAAAGAATTCCCGGTATGTACGTGCTAAAGGTTACGTGCTGTATGCATCAGCACTGACTGTGAAATTCCACCTGCATCAGAAGAAGGCAGATTAAGCAAAGAGCGGAGCTCAAAGACTCTAAACTGTACATACAGAACAAAAACACATAGAAATAGAAACAAGATGCAGTCAAACACATTCAAGTGCTGCTGTTTTAAGGTTCAAGGTATCTTTATTATCCCCGGAGGGCCGTTTGGTTCACAGTCAGCAGTATAAATAGACAAACAAATACAACAACAATACCAGACACAGACTATCAGTGTCATTAAGAAGACTGATAGCAACAGGAACAAATGATCTTCTGAACGTGTTTGTCCTGCGTGGTGCCAGTTTGAATCTGCACCCTGATGGTAGCAACATAAATTCACCCAACAAGGGATGGCTTGGATCAGCCAAGTTTGATTGGGCTTCCATCAGAGACCTGACCTTATACAGGTCATAAAGATAATTTAAGGATGTACCAACAATTTTGCTGTACACCTTCACAATACCCTGTAAACGATTTTTCTGTTTGACAGAAAGTAACCTGTACCAACATATAAAGGAAAAGATAAGAACTAATTCAATAAAACAAGAATAAAACATCTTTATAAAAGTGGCATTGACATCAAAACGGCAAAGCTTATGATAAAAAGGTATACACAAATGTGCTTTTTTTACACACGGCTCAAAGCACAGTTTGTTGTCGATCAGAGTACCAAGATATTTGTACTGCTGCACCAGTTCAACTGCCTGATTTTCCATAACAATGAGAGAGATGGCAGTGGGATTTGTACTACAGTCA